AGAAAAATGAAGGAAGGAAAAGGAGGAATGATGCATCAGGCTGTGTGCTGGCTGGGGAAATGTGACATGGGATAAGAAACAACTGTTTTAGATGCTAACAACAACTGTATCAAGGGACAACTGAGCAGATGATACACAAAAGGGGAAATTACCCTCATTATGGTTTAAGCAGTACAGGACCTGCTCTAAAATTTTAGCCCTGAAGAACTGTATCACAACAAGGACTACAGTTTGCCCTGCAAGAACAAGAAGTACACAAAACTGCAGAATCCAGCAGACCTCTGCTCAAAAAAACCTCAAACCAAAAATGAGTAAGCTGATCAAAGACAAAGCTGGCAAGGAGACTAAAACCTGAAGTTAGGTTCTTACAGGTGCCAATTGCTGAAAAAAATAATTTTGGAGGGATGACAACTTTGTATCACCAGTCAAGAATGTCTTGAGAAAGGCTGAGAGGAAACTAGTGCAACCAAACAGCAGGAATAAGGCAAGTTACAAGAAGAAACCTTTTCCTAGGAAAACCTGAAGTGTCAAAATAAAGTAAGCCTAAACCAAAACACATCATAAGCATGAGATGACTGCCCAAGTAGAATATACAGAAAAAAAATAAAATTAGTAAGAAATCACTGCTTAGAAGTATCTGGAACAGCAAGCCTGTCAAGAAATTAAGGCCAATGGATGACGATATAAAAAGAGCACTCAGAGAAGATAAGGCCCGATCAGGAGCCAAAATGAATTCTTGTCATCTGCCTGCACTTTGGAAGAGGCAGGAGACCTTCCTCTGCTGAAGCCTTTTTGCAAGGAATGAATAGGAGAGATCTACCTGAACAGTAACAAAGCAATAGGTCCAAATGACACTCAGAAGCTCTAGAGGAACTCAAGAGTGAAATTGCTGAGTTATTAACTCTGATGCACAGCATTTTAAAACCAGCTTTGTGCCTGAGGACATGAACTTTGGAAACAAGATACCCAGCTTTAATGATCTGAGGGGAGACCTGTGGATCTACAGGCTTGTGAGTCTGAGACTTCTCAGAAAGGATCTGTTAGAACCAAAAAGGCGCAAAGAAGTGAGGAACACTGTCCACAGGAGCAAGGACATAAAACTAGAGTTCTGCTGCTTGGAAAAGAGGCAAATGGGAGAGAGATCTAGTCAAAACCTAAATGATTACCACAATCACAGTGTCATAAAATGTTTGCATTTTCCAGTGTTTCACATTGGTTATCGAATGAGGACTATGGAGTTTCAGCTGAAGCTGGCAAATGGCATGTTCAAAGTAGAAAAAGGACACCTGGTGACTAAAACCAAATCTGGAATTTTCAGTTAATGCTTTTGCATCATCGACACGACACTGAAACCCTCCACAGCTCCTCCCTTCTCCCTTTCTAGAAACAAGAAATTGCAAACATTCTCTGGTAAATAATCTTGCCAGAATAAGAGTAATGTATTGCTTATCTTTATTTAACATGTTATGCACTTGTTTTGTTCACCAACAATACCTAAACTCTACTTTGATAATGTTTTGAGTAGTGGTATGTCAGAAACAATTTAGTTATGAGCCTTTTTTTTTCTCAAAGTGTATTTTTTAGTATTGATGACATTTTAATTGGCAGTTTGTGGGAATTTATGTACCTTTTATTCTCCTTAACAGTTACAGATTCTCTTATTGTCTTTCCATCTGGATGATGTGCTCTCCTCTCTCAGGACTTATCTGTGCCCCATTTTCTTTTCATTAGCACACTCTCTGAATCCATTCCTTTCTTCCTTCTTCTAAAGAGGAATCTCTTCTTGAAGCCTAAAGTGTAAATCTTTGGTCTCCCTCAGCATATGCATGGCCAACCTCATCATTGGATCTGGGGATGCACAACTGTGGGACTTGTTTGAGCATTGCATTGCAATAATATAAATGCAGACCAAAGAGGAACTAACACCTTACAGACATAAGCAAACACACATGTAGAATGCTCTTTAAAACAGCTGAACGCCGTAATATAACCCCATCATCACCAATCCATGGGATTTGACAAGCTGCTTTCCTCCTCTGGTTTTATTTATTCATCCAGGGAACTGACAGAAATCACCATTTACAAGTCTAAACTGTTTCCAAACACCTTATCATACGGCATTCTATGCAGATGTTGATCACCAAGTGTTTCTGCCTGCCAAGAAAAATGTTCCAGTGGATTTTCTTTGTGTTTCATCTGCTGTTTGGGTGCTGTTTGCTTTCAGTTCTGAACAAAAATCTTTTATTCTAGCTCATTCTCTTCATCATCCGCTGTTTTTCAAACAAAATAGTAAAAACTTCAGCACGGCTTCATACTTTATTTTCCAGTTCGCACATACATTATTTTTCTTTACATTCTGCATTTTTAAAACTTTTTTCTTTTTTTTTTAATTTTGAGCGAATCAAGGAATTTCTCAAACTATTGTGAATTATATGATTTTTTTTCTTTTCCTGCAACAGTGTTGGAACCATCTGCCAAGGCATCTTCTGCTTTTTTTTAGGCATAAAATTGAAATACTTCTTCCTCTAACTAACTGTCATGGAAAAGCAAGCTTTATTTTATAGCTCCAGTCTTTTTCTGTTGGATTACGTCACCAGACTTATTGTTAATTGAAATAAAACAGTAGAGAAGTGGTGAGTTAGAAAACAAATGTTGGCACTGAGAGTTTGCTGGGCAGAGGGGGAAAATATACAACACTACATACTAGGGGAAAAAGAGGTTTGGAACCAAGAAGTACTGACTATAATGCTATTGAAATAAAGAGGTGCCATTGCTCTAGAGGCCTAACTGAAGTAATGTTTGCTAGATGATTTTTAGCACCTAAATAGGGGTTTGGAGACACAGCCCCCTTCTCCTGATATTATGTGAGATACTGCCTTCAAGTGCAAATAAATTAAAAAAAAACCCACCACAATGAAAAACCATTGCTGAGTCCGTGCTTAATTTCTGACTATGGAAGCTGAAGTATTTGACTCACATCTGAGGTTTCTTTTCACAGCCTCAGAGCCAACTTTCTATGCTTTAATGGATTATCCAGGCACTTTTATTCCAGTAAGAGCAGGGAGGCAGAACGACCCCACTTTTCAAAGAACCGTGTATACTTTTGAAGAAAGAATGAGCTCTAAGAGGATAGGGATGAAAAACTGCAGCAGAAAAAGACGTTACTGACATTCAATCTATTATGCGAGTAGTTTTCACAGTACACTTGGCAGAGATCTGGAGGCTGGAAGGTGAAAAGGGGGATTTGAGGTGGGCGTGAGGGAATCTGGGGGTGCATGAAGGGTATGGGGGTATACGAGGGGGTCTGGGGCCAATGAGTAAGATTCAGAGGCTGAAGCATCTCTCTTACAAGTAAAGCCTGAGTGAGCTCGGCCTGTTCAGCCTCAAGAACAGACGGCTGAGGAGGGACCTCATCAACGTGTATAAATATCTGAAGGGGGGTTGCCAAGAAGATAGAGCCTGGCTCCTCTTGGTGGTGCTGAGCAATAGGACACCAGAGACAGTGGACAGAAACTGATGCCCAGGAAGTTCCACTTGAACACGAGGAAGAACTTCACTGTGTGGGTGACTGTGCACTGGAATAGATTGCACAGAGAGTGTGTGGAGTCTCCCTCATCGGAGATATTCCAAAACCATCAGGACACAATCCTGTGCCGTGTGCTCTGGTACAACCCTGCTGGAGCAGGGAGGTGGGACCAGCTGAGCCACTGTGGTCCCTTCCAACTGGGATTCTGTAGGGTGCTGGAGGGGGACCAGGGGTGTGAGGTATGTGTGAGGGGATCCAAGGGGTATGTAAGAGGGTACCCAGGGGGTGTGGGAGGGTCAAGGGGTGTGTGATGGACCAGTGTCTGTGTGTGAGGGGCCCTAGGGGTGTTTGAGGGGTCTAGGAGTGTTCAGGAGCCCAGGGGTGTTTTAGGGACTGGTTGTGTCTGTGAGGAGGTGCTGGGAGTGTGCGAGGCACTGGGATGTGTGAGGGAGTCTGGGGGTGTGTGTCAGAGACCAGGGTGTGCATGAGTGGTTTCAGGGTGTGCGTGAGGTCAGGGGGTGTCTGAGCATCCAGGAGTGTCTGAAGGGCTTTGGAGGGTTTGGGTTCAGAGGGTGTTTGTGGGAGCCCTGAGGTGCCTGAGGGGTCAGGGTGCGTGTGAGGGACTGGGCTGTGTGTAAGGAGGTTCAGGGTGTGTCTGAGGGGTAGAGGGATGCATGAGGGGTCTGGGCGGTGTATGAGGCGTTTTGGAGGGTTTCTGAGGGGTCTGTGAGTGTCTGAGGGATTCAGGGTGTGTGTGAGGGACCTGGGTTTGTGTGAGAGGGATCAGGGGCTGTACAAGGGGGTTCGGGGGGTGCCTGAGAGAACCAGTTTTGTGAGGGGGACCTGTGGGTATGTGAGGGGATCCGGAGTTGTGTGAGGGACTGGGATTGCATGAGGGACTGAGGTTGTGTGCAGGGGTCTGGGGTGTGTGAGGGGGGTTCAGGGTGTGTCTGAAGGGTCCGGGGTGTGCGTGAGGGACCGGGGGTTGTATATGGGTGGGATCGGGAGGTGTATGAGGGAGTTCGGGGGATGCCTAAGAGGACCGGGGGTTTTGTGAGGGGGATCGGAGGGTGTCTCAGGGGTCCAGGGGAGTGTGTGTGAGGGACCGGGGATGTGTGAGGGGTCCAAGCGGTGCGTGAGGGAGATCAGGGATGTGAGACGGGTTCGGGGTGTGTGTGAGGGACCTGAGTTTGTGTGAGGGGATTCGGGATTTGTGACAGGGTCTGGGGTGCGTTAGGGAGTCCAGGGTGTGTCTGAGGGGTCCGAAAGGCGTGCAACGGACGGCGCGTACTGACCGGCCGCCGCCGCGCCGCTCTCGCGAGACGTGGCGTCGGCCGGGGGGCTGTGCCGGGCGGGAGCGCAGCGCGGCCCCCCCACCCTCCCGTCCTCTCCCCTCCCAGCGCCGCCGCGGGGCGGATGCGGCGGGGCCGCCATAGTGCGGGCGGGCGGAGCCGCCGCCGCCGCCCGGGGACACGCTCCCGCCACTCCCTCCGCGCAGCCGGGAGCGGGCGGAGCCTGCGCGGCGCCGCCGGTTTTATCCCTAGCATCCCTCCCTGTGCGGCAGCGGGGCAAGTTGACTGCGCTGCTGCTTTAGCACAGCGGCATCGGGCGGGAGGGACCGGAGGCGCCGTCGCCGTCACCTGGCGCTGCGCTGCGGTGGGGGCGGGGCGCGGCGCTGTGTCTGCGGCAGCCCCGGGGCGCTGCTCGGGCGCTTTAAAGCTGCGGGAGCCGCCTGCGGTGGCAGCAGCAGCGGCGTTCGGAGAAGCGGAGCGAGGGGGAAGGAAGGCATGGAGGGAAAGCAGGCGGTGTCGGCGTCTGCGAGCGATGAGGGCGCCAAGGATGCGCTGGGCAGACCGCTGGGTCCCACGCCGAGCCAGAGCCGCTTCCAGGTGGACTTGGTGGCCGAAGGGCCCCGCAAAGCGGGCGGGGACGTCGGCGCGGCAGGGAAGGGCGGCGAGGAAGCCAAGGGCAGATTTCGCGTGAACTTCGTGGACCCGTCGGCCGGCGGCGAGAGCCTCGGCGAGCCCGGCTCGGAGAGCGGCAATGTGAGCGGCGTCCAGAACGGCGGCGACACGGTGATGAGCGAGGGCAGCCTGCACTCGGGCTCGGGCGGGCACCACCACTACTACTATGACACCCACACCAACACCTACTACCTGCGCACCTTCGGCCACAACACCATGGACGCCGTGCCCCGCATCGACCACTACCGCCACACGGCCGCCGACCTGGGCGAGAAGCTGCTCCGGCCCAGCCTGGCCGAGCTGCACGATGAGCTGGACAAGGTGAGAGAGCGGCCCCCTGGGAAGCGAGAAAAAGCTTAAAAAAAAGAAAAAAAAAAAAGAAAAAGGGAGAAGCCAAAATCTCGCCCAGCCTCGGGGAGGCGCAAACAACGCGGATGCATCGCTGGCGCCTCGGTTTTATTATTTTTTATTTTTTCCTTTCATGACGCAATGATAGCCTTTCCCCCCGCCCCCCATCCCCACGTGTTTTTGGGAGATGGTTCCCCCCTAAATGCGAGAGGTATTTAGAGATGATGGTCTGTTACGCAGCCGAGCAGGTTTTCTACTTCGATATCGCCTCTGGCAGATAGCGAATTAATTCCCTATTTGGGGAAAATTGGGCGTTTGCCATAGATATTAGTCCGGGAAGGGGAATGGAAATGTTCGGAAGAGACACTTAAAAAAAAAAATTAAAAAAATAAGGATACTCCTCCTGTTTATCAGCGGCTGGAGGTTTGTGTCCAAGCATCTGCAGATTTGCATCTGATCGGATCCGGATCAGATGCTGCGGGATCTGCACAGGCACAGATCCTGAACAAGCCTTTCCAGGGGTGCTGAGCGGCCCCCCTTTCGGTGTCAGGGCTTTGGAGCTCAAGCTTTTTCTATTTCGGACTACTAAGTCAGTGTGTTATTCGAGATGGGTTACAGTGCAAGCTGTTTTTGTGTTACCGGCTGTCTTGGCTAAAAGGCGGGCTTTAGCTGAACGTAGAATTAACTTAATGCATTTTTTTAAAACTACCATGATTAAACTAATAAACGTACTGCGGTGCTTTTGCCTCGCAGTTTTTTGCTCTGCTCCAAGAAGCCCGTGTTCCAGTGGGGTTTTTCCGCTGGGTTTAGAGAAAACAAGGGAGCATACGGGCCACGTCCCAGTGAAGAAAAATTTGTTTCCAGAACTCTTTTAGTCCCACCTTTCGCTCTTTATAGGTGGAGTTTCATGGGGAAAGTCAGACTTTCATACCATTATTAGCTGTCCTGGTTTGGGTTTTTTTTGTTTAGTTTTTTGAGGGGGTTGTCATAGTTTAAGTCCATTTTTTGAAACTGACTCTTCAACTGTGATAGGAAAAATTGTTGGATGTATTATAAAGGTACTTCTTTGTGACATCTAAGATTAGTTTTCCAAATAATTATTACCTGTAACATCAAGTTACTTCTACCTTCCAGGTCCTCTTCTGATGGAGTTAAAGGATGTTCTGTAGTCTTATTTTAAGTTAGTATAAAATAGAAATTGGCAATTACTCTCTTGTGTATGGACTAGGTGTGCTATAAAAAGAACACACATATGTGCGCTTACAATATATGAGAAAACACGGTGATTTCTTGCCCCTTTCCCCGAATTTCTGACTTCTGGCCCATGATGGGACACCCGGGTGTTCGGATACTCCACACTGTAAGCAGAATATTGCTTGAATTTCTGAACTTGTCAGGTAGGTTCTTCGGCGTGTTTAGGTTGCAGCAGTCAGGAAAGCTCTTTGACACCATTAAGACATTTGAGTGCAGAATCTAGTGTTTTTTGGAACTATAATTTCTAAAACTGTGATATCTACATTAAGAGGAAACTCATGGCAAGCAATTTTCTTCGTAGTTTGTGGCATAGAGGAGTGGTAGACAACCTAATTACAGGATCATTAGCAAAACAGTTTAATTAATTAAGTAAAATCATTAATTTCTTAAATGTCATGAATTTGTTGTGCGATGTGGATAAATGTATACATGAATAAAATTTTTTTTTCTTTCAAGTCATGTCCTATCTGCTGTGGGTCTTCCCCACCTCAAAAAAAAAAAAATACTGGGGATAGAATATGCATTTTTGGTTGCATGTGCTATTAAGTACCAGTTTTTAAAAGGGTCACAGGTATAAACTTCAGAATTTAAGTTGAAGTTCAGTGGAGTAACTCACCTGTTCTGTTGTAGGGTGTTTAGTTTACAAAGCAGTTTGTGTCTCAGAAGCTGTTTAAGCTTATATGAAGAGAAACCACTATTCTTGCTTCCAGTTTAGCAAGACATTTTCCAAGGTGAAGTTAAGAACACAAAAGCTTTTAATAAGGGTGTGTCATGTATACTAACGGCATTGGATACCTGCATTTCTCCTAGTCTTGGGAGTATGAAATACATCCCTGTTTATGTACTTGATTTCTGGACAGAGAGCTGAAAACTTTTAAATCAAGATGATATTGCATTTCTGTATAGAAGATGTTCACAAATCTGTTGTGCTTTTTTCGCTGTTTTCAGGAGGCTTGTTATCTCCGTTCCCAAAGTGACTTCAGTTCCTGCTGACTAACAGCGATGGCCTCTATTGTTAATGTTGTGCATTAAAGAAGATATTTTCTGTAACTTGAAGGGTTAAGCTCGCCCTTTAGCTGTGGATTTCATACTAATTTAACAGGTACAGCATGTCTGTAAAGGGCAGCTGGTACAAACATCCCAGTACCCTTATATAAAGTTTGCTCTGTGTGAATACCTATTGTTATGCCTGTGCTCTTGACCCAGGGAATTAAGGTTGGCAGTGACTTTGTGTTAATCCAAAACTGTACATTGTCAGTGTGGTTCACTGCTTTGAATGCAGCAATTTCACCTTGCAGTTAGAGTTTGTGCTATTCTGTTTGCTTTCAATAGGTAAATAAATGTCAGGGAGTGTTGGAGCATTGTTGATGCTAGTGCCGGTTATAGAACAGATTTTTTTTTTCGCTTAGGTTTGTTAACAAAGGTTCGTTATGTCTAACTCTTCTACTGATTCTGTTCTCGCAGAAAAGCACTGTTGGAAGAAGATACTCCTTTTGAGGAAGATCACGTTTATGTACACAAGGGCTACCATTTCTCAAGGGTTTGTCTTGCAGTCCTGGCAGGATAGGTGTTGATGTGGTCGTGCCATCATTGGCTGTTATAGCAGAAAAGGGATTGCTCTTGAATTTTGTGAACATAGCTGGGTGATGCTGCAGTACTCTGAGGTAGATGCGTTGCGTCTTGATCTTGGTAGATCATTTTAGATTTCAAGGGAGGGGGTCTTGTTTTAATATGTCATTGACTGCTGATAGCCAAGGTGATCAATCCTTTCCTGACCCAGGTGGTGTGCATTAATCTTACTCTGCCTTAGAGAGATGAGCGAGGGAATTTCATGATGGAGTTACAGTTGCTTATGTCATAGTTGAGGGGGATGCTTTAGTCTCCAGAGATGCAAAGGTGAGAGGGTGTTTATTAGCAGAGAGGTGGGAGGGTAACCAGTATACCATGACACAGACAGGCAGGTTTTTGTTGCCACTGTGGTGTCCCCTGCCTTCTGGAGGGAATCTGCCTTCAGAACACCAGGAAGATTAAAAGTGGCCTTGCTTTTCGTAATTTTCTTTATCTTTTGTCTTACAGTTTAGGAATATCTGTTTTGCCTGGATTAGCTACACATGTGCATAAAGATACAGCCCATAGAAGACATTCCGCCTGCCTTCATTTTCCTAAGTTTATCAGTTACCATGGCATAATGTTACAGACCTTCTGGTTCTGAAAGGGATCTACTTATAACGTATTCAGAATCGCACAGTGTCGTCCACTGCTGTGCATTAATTTACGATTTTTCTGTACAGAATTGAATGAATTGTGGTGCTTTTTAGTGTTTTTTTTTTTTTTTTTTAAAGACTAAACCTTGCTGTGAGTGAATCTAATACGAGCTTTGTGCCATCCCTCGCAGCTGCGATGAGTGGATCCAGTGTGAACCAAGCCCTCTACTGGCAGCTCTACTCTGTTGTTGGTTAAATACTCACCGAGAGCACTGACAGGCTACAAGGTAGTGATCTCAGAGGAAGATCTTCACACCACCTCCCCTCCCCCCCAGCTCAAATCATAAAGCGAAACAAAAAGAAATCCAAAGGCATTTAAAAACACGAGTGTGTTTTGCTTACTCCCACGTAAAAATCCGTGCACCTGCCATCTGAATTTGGAGGCAGAAGTAAGAAAGAAAGTGTTACTGATAGACTTGAAGATAGAATTGAAGGGGGGTTTTTTGTTTGTTTTCACTGACTATAAATTTTTAAAATTGTCTTTCTGGCTTGGATGAGTATTTTCTCAAGCGTTACTGTTTTCCATCTGATTTAAAGTGTTTAATGTAAGCACAGTGAAAAGGCTCTGTATGGCACTACTTTTTAACAGAGTGTATTCTGTCTTGAAAATATTCAACAACTGCTGCATTTCTAATATTTATTTTTTATTTTCTTACAGTTCTTGATTTGTCTGCTTGGGCCTCTAAAGAAAGCAGAACTCAGCTAAAGCTGCATAAAAAGCTAAAAGATGATTCTAGGTCATCAGATTAGGTGACCGTGTTATGTAAGGTCTGTCTCTAAAAGCTCCTCCCTCCCCTCTCCCAGAAGACTGAGACCCTTTTGCAGATTGTTTTTACTGCACTTCCTTGCTGAATCTTGTTTGCTGTCTGTAGGTCTCTTAGTTCCCGAGTCCCTGTGATTTTTGATTCTGATGGCTTTTCCTTCTTGCTGTCTGTCCTTCATATATGTGAGCAGAATTCAAATTTTCTTTTTGAACTTCATTGTACTAAAATAAAACAAGAAACTCTTAGTCTTGGTCTCTGTGCTTTTGGGATATCCCAGAAGCCTATAATTTGTAATTGTACTCTTTAATCACTTTTGGACTGCACTGATATTAATGCACCTGTACTCAGATGAGGCTTTAGTGACACCATGCAAAGTGATGTTTTTACACTTTTTTAATCCATGTGGAAAATCCTCACTTTGCTTATCCAAATATCCCACTAAATTACAACCATTTTTATCAAGGGAGAAAAGAGTGTACCGCTCTGCTTGCAGCAGTAAATAATTATAGTGCTCCAGATTTTGTATTTTATAAGGGCTGTGTATAATTTGTATATTTACATTTCTTGATGCTTGTATCTCTGTGAGAAGTCTACATTCAAAACACCTATAGAATATTGAAGCAATTGAAACTCTTCTCAGCAAACTGCTAATATTGTTCTTACTATTTTGTTTTTGTCCCAGAGAAGCTGG